AAACATAAGACCATTCCGCTAAATGCTCTCAGGACGGCGTACAGTTTGATCGAAGGCACCGCCGTCCGGGCACTTAAACATATTCGACACGGTCAAAGAGGCACGCACCCGACCCCGATAGGAAACGATAAACTGAGGGTTTTTTAACGATTAGGCAATACTGTACTATAAAAAACGTTAAGGCAATACTATAAATTTACTGTGCTGAACATGTAACGCTCGCTTGCTTCTGCCGCTGAGAAGCGGTTTACGTTTTTAAAGACATTAATGGCTGTTCTAGGATCATTTCATCGTGCTCTGTTGTTTCATTTCAATAAATGATCAGCTAGCGTAGCTTCGGTCGGTTGCTTCCATGACAAAGGCATCCGCCGATACTACCTTCAACAGTTGCAACTATTGCGACAATCTTTGTTTTTAGTGAAACGCCACTCCAACTTAATTTTTTTTTTTTTTTTTTTTTTTTATCTCGGGAGTTAGGTACAAGTCACAGAGCGGCTTTCCTTACGTGCGCCCACTCATATATGATATATGTTTCATTCAGAAATCACCGTCACGTCGAAGTTAGCTGCTTCACTTTCTTGTTTTTATGGATGACAACCAACCACTTTCGCACAAACTACGGTGCTTGCACAGAGGCCTGGTTAGGTTATTGGCAGCGCATTGAAATAAATTGCGTGACCATTAGTGGCTTCTCCTGCACTACCTACCCTTCAACATAAAAAAGGTTATTTGGTTAGAAATGCATAAAATTTAAGAAATATTTTATACTATTTACAATATTTTTATGAATAACAATTAACAACTTTTGAAAAAAAGACGGCGACTGCGCATAATCGTCGTTAGGTTTTCGACGGCGGATTAATGTCAATTAGTCGCTTCTCAAGTACCACCTCTCAGTAACATAAAAAAAAAACTGATTGTGCTTGCAAATGAACACTACTAACATCTGCGATAAGCTCTCTAAGGTCTTCATCTTCAATTCTGCAGGCAACAAGTTTTGCGGGAACTCGTGTGTCATTAAAATACCACTTACGCAGTACTTGTTTCTTTCCCTTTTCTTGTCTTCTTTTGTATCGAGACATCCACTCATAGTTTGCTAAAGGCAACCATGAGTGGAAGTCACCGCCGCCATGACCTATAGGTACAAACTCTATCCAGCAAAAAGTTACTGCAATCGCCCTTGCATTTCATCGGAGACGAATGACCGATCATATACCGTATTCAGAATTGTTTCCACTTTCTTATTTGAGCAGCATGCGACAGCAGGAGTGCTCCCGGTTAGTCTTTTTATTAGGCGCAACAGTCTACGATAACTTGCAGATATAAACTCGTGAATTTGCGCTTGAAAGGTTCATGTGATCTCATATTTTTGCTCGAGTGCTTGCACGGGTATTATGACTTTCCTTTTATTGTGTCTTGCATCAATCTGAATGTGCCTATTGCGCACTTGATGTCATCGAGTGCGCGTGAAATTGTGCTGCATCTTTATACAACATCCTTTGCAACCGCTTTGCGAACGCGGATCTGCTTCCAGTGTGAATGAGCGGTAACTGCGATACAAAGAAGGTGCCGTCTGTGGTGGTGACGCAGCCTTTCGTGTAATCTTTGAGGCGCTATGGGAGAAAGGATGCCCAGAGGATTTTGTTGCATTCCAAGTAGCACAATCGCTCGGCCCGGGCTTGGGCCAGACTGGCGCGAGCTAGAGCCAACTTGGCTCAGGCTTGTCCCAAGCTTGCCACGAACTGGCCAAGTATGAGCCGGGGAGATCCGGGAAAAATGTAATAATTTTAATATTTTAGTACATTCGGACGTGGTATAAATGCCACATAAACGATAGTTTTTATACCTTCTTTCTCCCCAAGTCCAGGTGCAGCTGATGTTACGAACTAATGGGACCAATCAATCAGCGTGAAAAGCGCAAGTCATTAGGCCTTTTCTGTTCATGATTGGTTCAGCGATGATAGACAAGTGCAAAAACGCGACGACCATCATGATGTTGTGCTTTTGACGTTTGCTGATTGGTCCCATCAGCTTGTACCGTCAGCTGTCAGGACGTAAAGGTGAAACGAAGTATGGGCCCTTTAGATAAAAGAGCGCCATCTGTCGCACGGAAAGGCAACCAGCCCCCAACGCCATCTTGAAGGATACTGCGTCGCTCAAGCCAGTCTGCGCACGTTTCAATGTTGCAATACTAATCACATATACGTTCTCGTTTTGTTGTGTAAAGTCAGATGGAGAGTGCTCTGGTGGCCCGAATTAGTGAAGAAACTGCATTTGTCTTGTTCTACCGTTATGTCCAGACTACAAGTCAGCCACGAGGTGGTGATTGCCCGTTCTCCGCGTTTAACGCGGTGATTTGCAAGTGAGCCAGATAGACTACAGATAGAGTTTCTGTTGTCATTCTTGAAAAGTGTGCGACTTTTTTTTTTTTTAACACAGCTTTATTTGTGTGAAGGCTTTACCAGTTAACGCGGGCGATATGTAAGACTACGGCCTCGCGTGCTTGTCTGGCAAACTAATACAGCTGAATGACGACTGCGCTCAAACTTCTAAGTGCAATTCAAAGTGACGTTATCATTACATTTTTGTGTGACTACGTGTAACAATTGTTTTCTAAGGATTAGTTGTTTTAGCAGCTGCAATCGAGAAGGCGTGGGAAAATTATTCAGCTATGAACACGACTAAATAAACAATAAATGAAAATTAATTTTGTGCAACAGGCTTTAAGGTATGTGCTTAATCTATGTGTGCGCCACTGTTAGAATCTATGGCAGAACTGCAAAAGAGTCCAGTGAGAACTGCAAAATATTCAAATTTTGCTTTTACATAAGCAGTCTGGACAGACTAGCTTATGTAAAGCTAGTCTGTCCAATTCAAGCGAGCGGAAAGGCACAGTGCTTTCCAAAACTGCTTCTAGACATGAAGCCTGCTTGCTTTTAGTGTTGTCTGCAACCTGATATAGTCTCTTACAGCTCAAGAAGGTAGGGCGACGAAAAGGAAGGCCGGAGAGGCGGACGCACACGGAACGCTGGAGAGAGAAGGAGGTTCCCCCTTTCCTCTCCAGCGTTCCGTTTCCTTCTTCCTCCCCAGTCTTTCTTTCACTTGCCCTACCTTCTTAAGCTGTAAGTTACTATACACCAACTCATGTTTACAAACAAACCGGAGCGCCCGGAGCGCCCCTAGAGGAGGCCACCGGCGCCGCGCATGCGCGATGGGGGTGTGGACAAGAAGCTCGCCGTCGCCCATAAACAAACCATTGGAATCCGATGTTGTCGGCGTCGGTGTGAGTCCCCGCGCTCTTTTTCGCGTTGAAATTATTGATTCTACGTCCTCCTAACGATGACTGACTACTTGAGCGGCGTCAGCGAAATTAACGAGGCTCGTTACACCGCAAAACTTCGCGTGAACATTCTGACCGGCGGCGATTCATTCCGCCTGGACGCCGCAGAATGTACACTAAAGCCTGATTCACATGATGAGATTTCGCTCGCAATTTTCTGTAGCGACGTCGCTGGAACTGCAAAAGCGTGAACCGTAGCTGAGATGGTCGACGTCGATACTGAAAATCGCAAGCAGGATCTAACCAAGGGAATCAGGCATAACAAGTCGGTGACGGACACTGGTAACAATGATCAACATCTCCTTGTGTCTACTGTTTACGTCGAGCCGGCTTACCAACCTTCAAACTTAAGTCTTTCGAGGCCTGCACTTCTTATCGCAAGTACCGGACCCACGTTTGGCCTACGGGCCGGTGTCCTCTAAAAGAGCAGACGACAAGCAGAAACGTTTGAAAGAGCAGACGACAGTTCGAACGATCAGCCGACCGTTTGAACTGAACGTACTCCGCAGGTGGTCCGTACAACTTGACGGTTTTCCGGCGTTCATTTTGGAACAAAACGAATACATCTGATGGTCAGAAGTATCCGTGATTTCAACCAAAAATGCTTCCCGCCCAAGCAATCGTGGTCCGACGGCGTCTGGTTTTCCTTTTTTACGCCACATTTTCACGTTCTCGGACGAACCGAGTGCATGAAAACTGACCTTCAAACCTTTCTCGACCCTTTTGGTGCAGCCCCAGCCGCAGCATTTTGACAAGAAGGCAGGTTTTTGTCAAAAGAACGCAGGAATACAGGTCTCACATGGGCACTTCCGCCCACAGCCCCGGACCGGAAGTGCGTCCGACGCGCCACCACCGCGCCGTGACGTAACAGAGATGAGTTCGTGTATAGCGAGTTTGTCAGTCAGAGGACTTGCAAGCGCAGCGACTATCAAATCGGTGGGACCGTCCTCACCGGATCGCCGACAACTGTGCACTGCGTGTTATATAACTCGCAATTGATCGGGAATATATCTAGAATGGCAGGATGATGCGACCGCAAGCCTTTCAACTCGCGTAGCCACGAACACTCACTTATCTTTCATAACACGGTGGCTGCAAGCGCATTACCGAAACCCACACAAAGAAATTTTCAAGGGAATAATCCACTCTCACTTATAATAATTAATATATCCCTCAGTCTCTCGTCCCTACTCCGAGCATAAAAATATATAATATCTTGTTGCGTGACTTGTTGTCCAGTTGCGTATCCTCCGCAAGATCCATCGTCGGCGTGTTCTCTTTCTAGATCTGTCTCCAGCGCACGTCTCTCGAACCTAGCCCGAACTGCTGTTGAGACGGCCGTTCCGGTTCGGCGTCTCCGAAGACGCACTGTAGCCCACCGACCGTACACGTTTGGCAGTGGGTCATCGTCTTCAGGTAGCTTATTGCACAGGACCCAATCAATCAATCAGCGTTTATTTCAGCTTGAAATACAAACTGAGGGTGGCAAGAAAAAAGCAGTGTCGTCCACTGCTTGACGGGCCTCGCCACCCTTACAAGTCAGCAGTGTAAACGCGGTAAAAAATAATATATATGTACAAAATGAACAATACAGACAAAAATGAGAAGTACAGACAAATTATAGAAAAGCGTTCCTAAGGACAGAAGAAGACATACCATTCTAGTGATCACATAGAGGAGTATTCAAAAACTTAGGCAAGATATATCGCAACATTGTAAAGCCATAGTTCGTTCTACATCTAGGTAAAACAAAGCTGTCTTTTTCCCTGGTTGCATAAGGCGTATTGTGGGGCACAGTAGAAACAATACGTGAAAGAAAATTATCGTTTTTAGCTATACTATTTTTGTAAAAACACGCGAATCTATATTCAAATAAATTATATACAGGCACAATTTTAAACTGCGAGTAAGCCTGCCCGGTTGGGGAATTATATGGAGCTTTTGTAATAGCACGTAGCATTTTCTTTTGCAAGATCAGAAGCTTCTGAATATTGGATGTTGTGGTATTACCCCAGACAAGAAAACAATAGCTTAAATATGAATAAAAGAAAGCGTAATACAAAGTAAGTTTAGTTTTTTCAGGTAGAACGTACTTATTACGCGAGGTTATTCCTACAACCTTAGAAAGGGCAAGACAAACCTCGTTTATGTGGGCGTCCCATGTCATCGTTGCAGTAAAACTTACACCGAGGGATCTAAACGTTTCTACATACTCGATAATGGTGTCACTCAAAACTAAAGGCGGTGGGTGCATTACAAGCTTTCCTTTAGGACGAAATATTACAGCTTTAGTTTTTTCTTTGTTGATTTTCAATGAGTTGACTAATGACCACCGTGATAATAATGCCAATACTCGGTTAGCAGTGCCAGTTAGTTGTTCAACGTCAGAGGAGGAAAAGAAAAGGCTCGTATCATCAGCGTAAATAACGTACTTTGCAAGGGTACTAATATTGGAAATGTCATTTATATATATATTAAACAAGAGTGGTCCAAGGATGCTACCCTGAGGGACACCATTAAAAATTTGAAGGGAATCGGAGCGAGAGTGGTTTATTACAACATATTGTAATCGTGAGCTTAAATATGATTTTATAAGGTTGAGGGCGTGTCCTCGTACGCCGTAATGCTCGAGCTTAGCGATAAGTATTTTATGATTTACAGTATCGAATGCCTTACTAAAGTCAATAAAAATGCCAAGAGTAAGACGTTGTGATTCAAAATTGTTCAAAATATATTCTTTTTGGGCAAGCAAGGCGTGTTCCGTTGATCTATTTTTAGTAAACCCATATTGGCAATCGGATATTACAGAATGCTTTAAGAAGAAATGATTGAGGCGGCGATGAATTATTCGTTCTAACCCTTTAGAAAAAAACGGAAGTATAGATATTGGTCTATAGTTACCGAAGTCGTTCTTATTTCCTTTTTTATAAATTACGGCTACTCTGGCTAGCTGCATAGCTGTTGGAAAGTGTCCCGTCATAAGCGCTACATTATAAATATGTGTTAGACATGGTGTAATTATTTGTAAAACATATTTTACTGGGCGACTTTGTATATTATGAGAGTCGAGGCTATTCGTATCTTTCAGACTTTTGAAAATTGAAAAAACCTCAAGCTCGTCAGTCGGTTCAAAAAATATTGATTCTGTTAACCTATCACTTAGAAAATCAAAAATGCCGGAATTATAGTGACTGTCACCTACAGTCGAAAAAAAGTAATTGAATGATGCAGCGAGATCTGAACCCGATAGCTCAGTTCCATTAACCGTTAAGCTTGTGATCACTTGGGCATTAGTATGTCTATTCAGGAGCAAATTTAGACGCCTCCATTTTTCCTTAAGATTGCTAGAAGTCTGGCAACCAAAGAAATTATTATAATACATGTTTCTCGCCAATTTAATTTCCCTGTTTAGTCGGTTGCGTAAGGACTTATATTCTGCGAGCACGGTAGGATTTTTGTTTTTAATAAATATTGCAAATAATTTGTATTTCTTTTTAACGAGTCTAATTAAACGTCTAGTCATCCATGGTTTACGCGCACTTTTGCATGGTTTTATTTCTACAGTGGGAAAACATTCATTATATACTGATGTGAAGAGCTCTAGAAACCTGTTAAAAGCATCATCTGCAGCTGGCTCATTATAAATAGGGCTCCAATCCACCAAGGAAATACGGTACTTAAATAGGTCGAGCCTTTCTTGAGATATTAGCTGGCGTCTCAATTTAGCGACATCGTTCGAACGAGTTGCTTTTTCTATACGCAAGAAAACAGGTAAGTGATCGCTAATATCGGCAGCGATGCGACCGGAAAAGAATGCGTTGTCATTATTAGTAATAATTAAGTCTAAAGTGGAAGCAGAAGAAGCTGTAATGCGCGTTGGACTATTTATAACATTTTGAAAACCTGTTGAATGAAGTGTGAGTAACATTTGCTGTTGCATTGGGCTATTCGTACCCATATCAATATTAAAATCGCCAGCTATGATGGACAAATAATTTTCAGAACTAAATAAAAACGTTTCACGTTCAAATATCTCCCAAAATTCGCCAAAGTTTCCATGAGGTGGTCGATAGACAACCGAAAATATATTACGTCCAGATTTCACGGTAAGCATTTCAATATCAGAGTTGGAAAAAGAGTGATCAGATAACATATCACAGGCATAGCTACTTTTTATCAGCATAGCTACGCCCCCGCCACGCTTTTCTGTGCGATTGATATAAAAAGAATTATACCCCGGAATACGTACAACATCACTATCAGCCCGATACCAAGTTTCAGACAAGAAAATGACATCGAAAGAACACGAGGAACGCGTTAGATCGTCTAAGAGGACAGTTAGCTCATCAGCTTTATTCACGGCAGATTGCATGTTAAGATGTATAACTTGAATATATTTATTCGCATCTAGTGCTATAGACGCATTAAACTCAGAAGGTGTGAAAAGAGGGGTGTCATTCATGAGGGTATAAAGAATCAGGTAATAAATCTATGAAACAATGGCGCCATTTACGTCATTTTGGACAAGTCAATCAGAGAATAGATCCGGAGGACATTAGAGTCGTCTGTCTTCCGTGCGAAAACAGCGCCATTCCTTGTCCACACGTGCTTCCAAGATACTTGTTTCTTTCTAGAAATCGTAGCACCAAGTAGCCGTTTGTTTTCTGGCGTTAGATGCTCATTAACATAGACACGCTGGTCTGGTCCTTCGAACCCGATTTTAGAAGTAGACAGTTTCAGCTTCTTGGCAGCGGCCAGGAACACGTTGCGCTTTGACCTAGACATGAACCTGACAATTATGTCAGGTTCATTTCACCCTTCGCCGCTCGACTCCGGCAAGGTTCACCCTTCGCCGCTCGACTCCGGCAAGGGTCGCCTCCTCGTCCCAGTCAGGCTCCTCTTCGTCATCAGAGTCCTCTTGAATAAGTGCGGGCGGAGGGTTGTCGAGAATCGCACTTTGGCCTGTTGCGGGGGGGGGGGGGGGGAGGGGGGGGGGGAGGAGGGAGGGAGAAGGAATGAGCTCTCGCGCGGCTTCGTGTGCTCTCTCGTTCCCCTCGATCCCGGCATGGCCCGGGACCCAGGAGATGGTGCCCATCTCCTATGGGACTGTGTGGAGCTCAACCGGACGCGGGAAGAAGCCATTCGAAAACTGCAACCTAAGCTGCGGCCGTGGTGCCTTCGGGACTGAATACACCCGAGGGGCGCACCGCTGCGCCGCAAAGCCATATTAGACTCGATTCTTGACTTTGTCGCTACAGCAAACATCCAGGACTCCATCTGAATAGAGACATTTCTGGTACCCTCCTACCTATCCACACCCCATTCCCCCACCCCCTTCTCTCTCCGATGTCAGTGGACAATTGATTAGAGAGAGTCGTACGCGCTTTACTCCTTTCTTTATTAATAAAACATGCTCAATCAATCAATCTTGTTGCGTGATGAAGAAAGGCAGGTGTATTTCACCCACGACCTTTACCACTCCACGAAACTCGTACTGGGGTGATGTAAACACAACGGAAGCATCCGTCAAGATGACGTTCTTGGCCCAGTGTACCCAAAGTCACTGGATCTGGGAAAGTAGCACCATTGCCTTTCCACCTGCTAGGCGGACTCAAACAAATACCAGCATAGAGACAACAAAACCTAACAAAGTGCTTGGCTCATCGATGCCGCTTGTCATGGCGATCGCCATTTTGAACCTTTCAAAGCTTCGAAGCTACGAAAGGGTCGTTAAAATCAGTTGAACCAAGATCGATATGGAGCATCATCGTCGTGAAAGCGTTCCTCGGCTAACATGAGCGCCTTTGGCACTGTGCATGCAATGAACTTATCACTCATGCTTGTTTCCCCCGATCTCTTACAATTATGTTGCTTTTCTTGCGTGCTTCAAGACACAAATATTATTTTTCAATGCCTCCAAGCACTGACGTTGTGTGCGAGGCTCGTGAGGCTCAGGTGGTGCACCGTCTTCATTGATGACAGCCGTCCTCCGCGGCGTATCTTCGTATGACCGAAGACAAAGTTGCTCGCAGCAGCCAAGAAGCTGACGCTTCAATTCAGGGTCCATTTTACGCGCAGTTCGCACAGAACACAAAAGCTACCTGGGGTTTCCCCAGGAATTGAAATTAGAAAGAAGGGGGGGGGGGGAGGGGGGTTCTAAATTTTTAGGGGGGGGGGGGGGAGGGGGCATTAAGAATAGAGGAGCCGTTGCGAATTAAGGGAGTGCCTTCAGAACAACAAAGGGGCGGGGGGGGTGGGTACATTCACTTTAGGGTGTGTAAAGGGGGTGTAAGTAAACCACTGGAAGCTACGAAAGGTTGCAGTACGCACACAAGACGCACCGGGAATCGAGACGCTGCGTACGTCGTTCAACCCTTAGACTCCGCAGCCAGGTCAATCCAAGAACGAGAGGCGTTGCGTACTTCTCTGCGCGCGCGGGGCGAAAGAGCGTAAGATTCAAGTGTGGAGAGGTTGTTACCCCGACTAAATTACCTCCTGTAACATAATAATTGCTAAATTCTTTTTTTTTTTTTTTTGTTTCGCGGAAGATTAGTCTTGTGAAATGCTTGTCCCAATTAGGCTGTTGAAAAAACACCTCTTTTTTCTTTTTAGTTACTCTGGAACGCGATAGCTTTATCGGGCCCCGTTCGCAAAGTCTTCTCATATAATCCCACGCTCGTTCCCAAGCCTTGCAAGCGTGTGCGTGGCATAGTCGGTAGCGTCACTTGTCTGTGTAGAATCACGTGTCACGTGACGCCACAATGACACGTGACGCCACCGTGACGTCATGTGACGTTACACATGAGCGTTGTGTGTTAGTAATACCACTCAAGGTCACATGGCCTGACGTCACACGCGTGACGTCACGCGAGGGTGCTACATCATGACCCTATCCACTTGCCAACTTTTCCCAAAAATTTTACCGCTAAACTTGGCGGTAAAAAGTTTCCGCTATATTTGGAGGGAAACATTTTCGCTAAATTTGGCGGGACAAATTTCCACTAAATTTAGAGGAAACTTCTTGCGCCAAGTCTAGCGGAAAATTTTTCCGCCAATTCAGCGGGTCGATAGGGTCATAACGCCACTGCAGAGTGGGACGTTAAAGTGGCTGTGACGTCATCACCCAATCGACCCACTAAATTTGGCGAAAGGATTTTCCGGTAATTT